GTTGCCAGGTGCTTGCTTTGTATGTTTTTGGCTTACTATGTATCTGTTTTTAGTTTTTCTGTTATTTTTTTTCCCTTCAAAAATAAGAGTAAAAAAGGAATAGGAATGAGCAGCTCTCACACTCTCCTACTTCCTTACCCACTTACTGTTGTATTGGTGGTGTTGCTATATGCTGTTGAGTTGGACCCAATTTATAGTGAACCCTCCTTGGGTTTTTGAGGCAGTATCACTATGGAAGTAGATTGCCCAGCCTTCCTTCCGAGTACCCATTAATGAACTGGTTTTATTTTCTCATATTCTTTTCCATATGTACTTTCAGAACTTATTCATACTCATTTTATACACACACACACACACACACACACATATATATAAACAAATTAACTGCTGTTGAGTCAATTCTGACTCATTGCAACCCCTTCTTGGGTTTCCGAGGCGGTATCTCTACGGAAGTAGATTGCCCAGTCTTCCTTCTGAGGAGTGGCTGGTGGGTTTGAACCACCAGCCTTCTGGTTAGCAGTCAAATGCCTTACATACATTTTATTTTAAATTGCCCATTTTTCATTTACTATTGTGAAACATTAGTGGATTTTTTTGTATGTGGTTATATCATTTTCCAATTCAATTGTTGCACCTTTGTTTTATTTAAGTGGCTTAAGAATTTTATTGTTTTCAAATAATATAGTTTTGTATTTTCAGTGAAGGTTTACACGGCAATTTAGGTTCTCTATCAACAGGTTCTACACAAATTGTTCAGAAAAATTGGTTACATGCTTAATAATCAAGTAAGATTCTCAATACTTCTGTTCCAGTTGTTCCATTTCCATTCATCTAGTTTCCCAGCCCACTTACATTCTCATCTTTGTTTTAAAGTGAATGTTGATATTTGGTGTCATACAGATAATTTGTCTTTTAAAGGAACACAGTAGTCATGGGTAATATTCTTAATTTTGTGGGCCAGTCTGTTATTAGCTAAAAAGTAACCTCAGGGGCTTGTTTCAGTTCAAGGTTTAAAGAATGTCTCAGGGCAATATTCTTGGGGAGTCCCTCAGTCTCAACCTGTCCGATAAGTCTGGGTTTTTTATTTTTAGGAATTTAAGGTTGTGTTCCCTATTTTTCTCCCATTCTTTCGGGTCCATCTACTTTGGCCTTGAACAGGCACCATTTAGTTCTTCAGGTCTCAGGGTGGAGAAGGTCATGGTGTCTATAGGCTATTAGTTCTGTAGAGTTTTTGTTTTGTTTTGTTTTTCTTTCTCTTTTGTTTCAGATGAGTACAGACCAACAGTTGTACCTTAAATGGCCAGAAATGTGATTGTTTTAAATAAGACTACAATGAAATTGTTCCCATATCAAATATTTCCCCCTAAAACTCAATTCTGAAAAAATTATCCTTTTCTTCAAGCAGTGTACCACATGTCAAAAGTACTTCATTCGTGTGGTGCATTAGCTGTTTGGTAGATAGATTATTTAAATAGGGCACAGTGCAGCAGGGCCTATTTGCTGCTTAACGACAATATTTTGGATGTTGCCACAAAGGAAAACCTGGGTTCTGCTTTTCTGTGCTGGAGTCATTCCTCCTGTGTGTTGTACTGACTGGTCTTTTTTTTTTCCTTAGTGTTTTACTTTGTTTTCTCAAAAGTGATAAATAACCTTAGTTTAAAATATCCCAGGATAATACTAGAAGATCTGCCAGGCACTTGCATTCTTTCTCTGCCTGGCTTCCTCACAGTAGTTCAGTGAGAAGGTGCTCAGTCTGTTCTTCATTTTAAACATGTGAAATATGAGAAGCTTGCTCAGCCCGACAGGAAACCAAGCAAGGGTCAGGGGAGTTAAGCATTCTGTTCAATGAGAGAAAGACAAGAGGAGCGAAAAAGAGCTCTACTTATAAGGACTTGCATCCTGTGGTGTGGATGCCTGGAGTGGCATGCTGAGTAATGATTTGCACTGGTGACACTGCTCCTTCCCTGACTCCTCACTGGGCACCTCTTCTCTTCCATTGTCCACCTCCTCAAGTGCACTGAGGTGCTCAGATCTCCATCCAGACAAGTACAGTAACTAACCTCATTAAAATTTTAAAATTCCTCCATGGGGAAAAAATACTTTATACAGTGTGTGATAGTTGGAGCTGTGTGTCAACTTGGCTGGACCCCAGTTCTGTGTGGTTGTTCCCATGATGGAATCAGATGACTATGTTCTGAGTGGCCAGTCAGCCCAAGGGGAGTTTCCCTAGGGGTGTGGCCTGCTTCCAAGATATCCAGGGACATCCTGGGAAGAGAGACATTCTTTGAGGGATTGGAACCCTGGTGTGCGGATTACAAACTTCCGTGATGGAGCAGCCCACCGCTCTGCCTGGAGATCTTGGATTCATCTTTTGTTGGAGTCAACAACCAGTGTACTGCCTGCCAGCCTTGAATTGCTCGGCCCCCTGCGTTGCAGAAGCTAAGGCTGCCGCCAGCCCAAAGTTTCCTCCGGGGACTTTGGACTTGCCAGCTTCTATACGTTTGTGAGCCATTTTCCTAAGATAAATTTCTCTCTCTCTCTCTCTCTCTCTAAATATATACATATATATACACTTTGCTGGTTTTTGTGTTTCTCTAGAGAAACCAATCTAACATACAGTGTTACAAGAAAAAGTAACAACTTTGAGTGTAAAAGTTTATGGTATCCACACCAGAAAAAGGCATAAAATTTATCATAGAACTATTAAAGAATCATCATATAAATGAAATTTCAACAGAAATACAGGCAAAGGTCACGAATAGATAAAAAGGAGGAAAAACAGATGGTGAGATGGCCAGTGAATATATGAAAAAATGATGTTATTCATTTATAATTGAATATATGATAGTTATAAAAATGTTTTTCTTTACTATTGTTGTTCTTGTGTGCTGTGGAGTCAGACCCGACTCATAGTGACCCCTCCTTGGGTTTCCGAGGCGGTATCACTACAAAAGTAGATTGACCAACCTTCCTTCCGAATAGAAAGGCTTCCCTGACCGGGAACTGAACCTGGGATGTGGGGGTGAAAGCACTGACTCCTAACCACTAGACTGCCAGGGAGGGTCAAATTCAACTGTTCTCAAGTCAGATCCAACTAATAGTGATCCCTCCTTGGGTTTCCGAGGCGGTATCACTACGGAAGTAGATTGTCCAACCTTCCTTCCGAGGAGTGGCTGGTGGATTTGAACTGCCAGCCTTCTGGTTAGCAGTCAAATGCCTTAGGCACTATGCCACCAGAGCTCCCAGATCACCAAGGTGATGTAAAATGTTTTAACTTGCTTTACCATCTTGTAGAATCAAGGATACTTACATGGTCTTAAAATATGAGTGAAGAAGGGACAGAATCTACCATTATATGATCACAGTTTTAAATGTTCTTATTTTTGCCATTTTAATTTTCACTTGAAATTTATCTTATGTGATCAGACAGGAAACTACAACCTACATGAAATGATGTTTGGCATTTTCAGAACTGATAAATCCACACTATTAGTTCTGTGGTGTAAATGATGTCTAATACCAGCTACCTGGAATTAAGGCTTCACAGGGTAAAGCCACAGTCCACTGCTCTTCCTTCCTACAGCCACTGCAGACTCAGCACCACCCTCACTTTTGACTGTGTAACTACAGAAATGCTGGCATTCTCACTACTCTCTCATGTTCAGTAATCTGTTAAAATATCTAACAGTACTCAAGAAATACTATACTTACAAAGGTAGTTCTATTATAGCAAAAACTTAAAAATCAAACCCAGCCAGAAAGAGAGGGGCATAGGGGAAGGTCAGGACATGATGCAGTCAGAAAATTTTCCTTGTCCTCAAAGTCAGTTCACACTGCTGGCACATTAGTATGTAACAATACGAAGAATATTGTCAACCAGGGAAGCTCACCTGTGCTTCATGTCCAGAATGTTTATTGAGATTTCATTACATAGGCACGATTGATCAAACCAACCCCCCTACCCCCACCCCCGTACTGGAAGTTGGGCTGGTATGATGTGAATCAAAGCTCCAACCTTCTCTTCATGTTGTGGTCTTTCTGGTATGGCCAGTCCCCATCATGAGTCATCATTTTAGCTGAAATTACCAAGTGTGGTCCCAGAGGACCATAATGAATAATAAAGATACCCAAATAACAGAAAATTCCAGGGATTAGAGTCTACATCCCAGGAACTAGAGACAGTAGTTATCTGAATTCTTTGTTTTACACCTGGAAAACTACGCAGCTATGAATTGGGTTAAAATACGTAACAATTGTGATACTAATAATTCTAATAGTAATAGATAATGTTTATTAAATGCTTATTCAGTGCCACACAGTTATGAGTGATATATGTGGTATGCCTGTGTGTATACATATATGTATATGTGTTTCCTTGTTTATCCTTGAAAGAAAACAAACCATTGTATAAACCGTTATACAAAGAGGAAACTAAGGCATATAGGGGAACTTGTCCAAGGTCATCTGGGTAATAAGGATCAGATCACTGGAATATCCATTCAGGCATGGCAGGTACACCTCAGTGCATTGAATGTTGGATTCATGGATGTGGTGTGTGCTTTGAGAGTTGAGAGGATATGCTACATACCTGTGTAATACAGGATACTAGAACTTTTTAATTATGCAAACATTACAGAAAAGTGCTAGTAGCAGAGTCAATGCTAGGAGGATAGTGGGTCCTATCAATTTCTATTTAAAATCAATTTGCCATGTTTTCTGGGGAAGTTGGCAATATGGATCAAAAAGTAAACCATGTGTTTCCCAGTATGTAGAATTTAGAGTTCTAAGTGTTTACTCTTAGGACACCATGTAAGAATACAAGGGCTCTTGTTCATTGCTGTACTCTTGGTGAAGCTAAGGAGAATCCTTTTGCCAGGATAGAAGAGGATAGAAGAGATAGTATGCATTGATTCATGCTCCTCAAAATCTGGAACTTCCCCCCAACCTCATCAAGTGGACAATAGTTCTAAGATAAGGTGTACTTGTGCTTGATGTTGTAGGAAGCAGTGACATTCAAGGATGTAGCTGTGGTCTTCACTGAAGAGGAGCTGGGGCTGCTGGACTCTGCCCAAAGGAAGCTATACCAAGATGTGATGATTGAGAATTTCAGGAACCTGGTGTCACTGGGTAAGGGCAGCCTCTCTTTGGAGTATCTTTATCTCCTCAGATTTTCAAGTTTTGATTGGTCACCTGAGTGTTAGGAACTGACTCTCCTACCAAGAATTTTTTTATGAAATAAAACAGAGTAGAAAATAGGAAGGATGGAACACATTGCAGCACAAACTCTGGCTATGTGCATGCCTAGTGTGAGAATCAGTGGGAGGAGATTTAATGAAAATAGACATTGGTTAGAAGTAGGTCAACCTGTGCTTTAGTAATAACATATTTATGCATGCATCTGAGTCTTGGAATGAATGGTATTTCTTCAAGTCCATTACCTTAGAAAAAAAGTTTGTAAAACATTGCTGCTGATTACTTGAGTATAAAGTAGGAACCCAAACTTCCAGTCAATTATACCTGTAGTATTTTCATTTTGAACATGTAAAGGCCTCCAACCCTTTAAACACAATATATGCCACTTAGAAAGGTGAAAAAGATTTGAGTGATGAAGGCTGCCACCATAGGGAAGGGAATTCAGATCAGAACCAAGAGACTGGGAATCCTTATAGATGTTTGTCCATCTGTGGTAACCCTCTACTTCTCTAAATTACCAAATGTCTTTCCTGGATTATTGAAAAGCCTTTGTACCAGGTACCCTATTTATATACTTTTCTTCCTAAATTCTGCTGGCCATGAGCTGCCAATGTGATCCATGGGAAATGTAAGTCCAATTAAGTCATTCTGCTACTCAAAACCCTTGATGGCTTCTTTTGTTTCTTAGTTAAAGCCTCTTAAAGTGGTTCATACCAGGGAGCTCTGGTAGCATAGTGGCTAAGGCACTTGACTGCTAACCAGAAGGCTGGCGGTTCAAACCCACCAGCCACTCCCCGGAAAGAAGATGGGGCAATCTACATCCGTAGTGATACTGCCTCAGAAACCCAAGGAGGGGTCACTATGAGTCAGGTCTGACTTGATGGCACATAACAACAACAACGAACCATCCTACAAGTATGGTCTTTAGACCCTACTTCCTCTCTGACCATACTGTCTATCCTTGTTCATGTCATATTGTCCTCCTTGTTTCTCAGATGCACCAAGGATGTTCTATTAGTCTCCTATTTCTGCTATAAAAACTTCCTACAAACTTGATTGTTTAAAATAACACAAATTGATTATCTTACAGTTCTGTAGGTCAGAAGTCAAACATCACTCTCATTGTGGAAAATAAAGATAGCAGTTGGGCTAGTTTCCTTTCTGGAGGCTATAGGGAAAAATTAATTTCCTTGCTTAAAAAAAAAACCAAACTCACTGTCATCAAGTCGATTCCGACTCACAGCAACCCCCTTTGGATTTCCGAGGTGGTAAATTTTTACAGAAGTCTTCCTCCTGTGGAGTGGTTGGTGGGTTTGAACGACCAACTTCTGGTTAGCAGTTGAATGCCTTAGGCACTATGCTACTGCTTCCAGAGGATGCCAAAGTCCTTGGCTTGTGGCCCCTGCTCTCCACGTTCAATGCCAGCAACACCGTATCACTCTTTTTCTGTAGTCAAATTCCCTCTGACTCTCTTGCTTTGCTCTTTTGCTTTAAAGTACCCTTTTGAATACAATAGACCAACAGGTATTGTAGGATAGTCTTCCTGTTTTAAGGTTAGTTGATTAGCAACTTAAATTCCATCTGCCAACTTAATTTCCATTTGCCATGAACCTAACATTCTCAGTTTGGGGAATTAGGATTTAGAAATCTTTGTGGGATCATTATGCCTGCTAGATGCTTTTATTTTAACTTCTTTCTTTGCTCTCTCTGCCTGGAGTACTCTTTCACCTAAAATCTTCCTGCCCTCCTTCCTTCCTTCAGGTCTCTGCTCACTTTTAATATCATGAGAGAAGCCTTGTCTGTCCACTCTTTTGAAAATACCATCCTTGTTCTCTCTTATTTAGTCACGTATATTTTTTATTACTTGCCTGTCACCTGTTTCTCATTCTGGGAAATATTTCCCAGAAGTGAAATATTTTAGTCTATGTTGTTTATTGATGTCTCTTCAGAGCCTGGAGTGGTCCTAGGTATCTATACAAATGTATTGACTTAAGGAATGATTTAATGTGCAGAGGGACCTGTCTGTCTTCCTAAGTCATGGAGATAGCTGATAGATAGGTGATTGTGATGGTTAAGGTTGTATGTCATCTTGGATGGGTCATGATTCTCAGTGATTTGGCAGTTATGATATAGTTTGGCAGTTATGTCATGATATAGTCCTTCCTACCTTGTGATCTGATATAATCAGATGAGACCTGATAAAATGTATTCTCCTTCATGTAGATCTGCTGTGAGTAGCCAGTCAGTTGAAAGGGAGTTTCCTCCAGTGTGTGGCCTGCATCCAGTATATATGGACATTCTGGCAAAGCTCTCTGGCTTTTTGCTTGCTCTAGATCCTTCACTTGGCTCATCATCATCTGACCTCTGGTTCTTGGGACTTTAGCCAGCACTCTGCCATATTGTTTGCCTATCTTGAGATTTATCAGCATGTACATCCAGTGATCTAGCAGCCTCCCATCTGACCTGCAGATCTTGTTTTCATCAACCCTTGTAGCTATGGAGTGAAGACAAGCCTGAAAAAAAAAAAAAAAGACAAGCCTCCAGACTGAAGTCTGACTCACGGACTTGGGACTTGCCAGCCTCTACAACTGCATTTCAAAAATGAAATGGAATACATGAAGATTGATATCCTAGGCATTAGTGAGCTGAAATGGACCATTTTTGACCATTCTGAATCAGACAACCATATGATGTACTATGCTGGGAATGACAAATTGAAGGGGAATGGAGTAGGATTCATCATCACAAAGAATGTTTCAAGATCTAACCTGAAGTACAGTGCTGTCAGTGATAGGATGATATCCATATGCCTACAAGGAGCTCTGGTAGCATAGTGCCTAAAGCACTTGACTGCTAACCAGAAGGTTGGTGGTTCAAACCCACCAGCCACTCCTCGGAAGGAAGGTTGGGCAATTCTACTTCTGTAGTGATACTGCCTCGGAAACCCAAGAAGGGGTCGCTATGAGTCGGGTCTGACTTGATGGCACATAACAACAACAACAACAACGAAGACCAGTTAATACTACTATTACTCAAATTTACGCACCAACCACCAAAGCAGAAGATGAGGAAATTGAAGACTTCTGCAGTCTGATATTAACCAAACCTGCAATCAAGATGTGGTGATTATCACTGGTGATTGGAATGCAAAAGTTGGAAACAAGAATCACCAGTAGTTGGAAAATATGGCTTTGGTGATAGAAATAATGCTGGAGATTGCATGATAGAATTTTGCAAGACCAATGACTTATTCAGTGCAAATACCTTTTTTCAACAACACAAATGGTGTATATACACATGGACTTTGCCAAATGGAGTACACAGGAATCAGATTGACTACATCTGTGGCAAGAGGCAATGGAAAAGCTCAATATCTTCAACCACAACAAGGCCAGGAGCTGATTGTGAAACAGACCATCAACTGCTTATATGCAAGTTCAACTTGAAGTTGAAGACAATTAAAACAAGTCCACTAGAGCCAAAATATGACCTTGATTATATCCCTCCTGAGTTTAGAGACCATCTAAAAAAATAAATTTGATGCATTGAACACCAGTGACCAAAAACCAGAGGAATTGTGGGATGACATCAAGAACATCATCCATGAAGAAAGCAAAAGGTCATTAAAAAGACAAGAAGGGAAGAAAAGACCAAAATGGATGTCAGAAGAGACTCTGAAACTTGCCATTGGACGGAGAATAGACAAAACAAATGGAAGCAATGACAAGATAAAAGAGCTGAACAGATTTCAAAGAGCAGCTCAAGAAAAACAAAGTCAATTACTATAATGAAATGTGCAAAGACCTGGAGTTAGAAAACCAAAAAGGGAAAAACACACTTGGCATTTCTCAAGCTGAACAAAACCAAAGAAAAAAATTAATCCTCAAGTTGCAATATTGAAAGATTCTATAGGCAATATACTGAATGATGCAGAAAACATCACAAGACGATGGAATACACAGTGCCACTGTACCAAAAAGAATTGGTTGATGTTCATCCATTTCAGGAGGTGGCGTATGATCAAGAACCAATGGTATTGAAGGAAGAAGTCAAAGCTGCACTGGCTACAAACAAGGCTCCAGGAATTGATGGAATACTCATCAAGATGTTTCAACAAATGGATGGCACGCGGAGACAATCACTCAGCTATGCCAGGAGATTTCGAAGACAGCTACCTTGCCAACTGACAGGAAGAGATCCATATTTTTACCCTTTCCAAAGGTGATCCCAAAGAATGTGGAAATTTTTTAACAATATCATTAATATTGCACACAAGTAAAATCTTACTGAAGACAATTCAAAAATGGTTGCAGCGCTGTATTAACAGAGAACTTCCAGAAATGCATGCTGGATTCAGAAGAGGATGTGGAATGAGGGCTATCATTGCTGATGTCAGATGGATCTTGGCTCAAAGCAAAGAATACCAGACAAATGTTTACTTGTGCTTTATTGAATATGCAAACTAAAGCATTCAATTGTGTGGATCATAACAAATTGTGGATAACATTCAGAAGAATGGGAATTCCAGAACACTTAATTGTACTGTCGTTCAGATAGAACAAGGGGTTTGCATGGGTTAAAATCAAGAAGGGAGTGCATCAGGGTTGTATCTTTTCACTATACTTACTTAGCTTCTACACTGAGCAAATAATCTGAGAAGCTGGACTGTATGAAGAAGGATGTGGCATCAGGATTGGAGGAAGGATCATTAACAATCTGCAATATGCTGAGGACTCAACTTTGCCTGCTGAGACTGAGGATGACTTGAAACACTTACTGATGAAAATTGATATACAGTCTGCACTATGGATTACACCTCAGTATAAAGAAAACAAAAATCCTCACAACTGGATGAATCACAATAAATGGAGAAAAGACTGAAGTTTTAAAAGACTTCATGTTACTTGGTTCTACACTCAACGCCACTGGAAGCA